AAACGAATTACCAAACTTATTCAACTTTTTCCTTCAAATTATGAAGATTTAGTAGAAAGAAACAGGTTTCGCCTTCGCTTCAAAGTGGATATATGTATTTATGACTTAAAAACTGTGTAGATGAGAAAAAAAAGCCAGCTTTATACTACAAAATCAAACACGTGACACACAAAGTGGGCTTAAAACTCCCAAATGGAACTGGTTTCGAAATGTGAACAAGGAAATAAAACTGATAGATTCAAGAGAATGAAAGATACTTTGCAACCAACACAGAGTGACTGTTTATTGCCTGCAATGAGTTGCGACAGTTTGCGAGGGCGGATAGATTGCAACGCTAGCCGGAAAGCAAACACGAAAAACTTGGCCTGCACTTGAGGGCAGGCCAACCTAAAATTTGGATCCCGTCTAGTACATAATGGAAGCAAAGACAACGATGGAAACTAGCAATCAGCAATAGCCATAAGGTTGTTGAATTCCAGCCACACGTGTTCCTTACGGGTTCTGACCGTTTATTTAGCATTATTGGGCATACACATATTTATAAACGCGCTGTTTTCTTTCTTAACAACACCTGGGGGTTCTTATACAACATATGTTTATCACCGAACGAAACACAATGCAACAGTAGCCGACGTTTCGGCCGTATCGCCTTCCTCAGAACCTGGAAGGGTATATTGATATGCAGTTCATCCCAATACGCCAAACGCTTCAATAACACAGACAGAAAGATGGAAGTCTACATGGAAATCACAGGATCAACAGCTTCTCGAAAAACCCACCGTAAAAGCACATAAAAAACGATGGGGTTTTCGAGAAGCTGTTGATCCTGTGATTTCCATATAGATTTTCATTTTTCTGTCTGTGTTATTGAAGCGTTTGGCGTATTGGGATGAACTGCATATCAATATACCCTTCCAGGTTCTGAAGAAGGCGATACCGCCGAAGCATCAGCTACTGTTGCATTGTATGTTTTTCTCGATTGCTGAGAAAGAAAACGACGCATTCATGATCTAATGCCGAGATTAGTGGAAAGCCGACTCTGGGAACTATATATATTTAACCACAACGGTGCTAAGATCATTGCAAAACTTGGACTCCCGGCCAGATCGACTCACGATTTCCCTTTCCGCGACCACGCGCATTAGACACTGAGCCACGGAGGCACTTACTCTGCTCTTATCTCAGCTAGTTTTCTGTCTATTTATATCTATTTTTCTACATATATTTATTTGCCGCTAAACATTTCGCCTTTTAGCCATTGTTCGTTAAAAGTGAAGCCGTAACTGTTATTCACCCAACAATATCCACGTCTAAATAATAATGAACATGGAATGTGAAATTTTCGCCTGGACCGATAATCCTGAAACACCCAGTTTTCTCCGTCTTCGTAATACCTTGCTCTAAACAATGATAGGACGCTGCTTTCTTGATAACCAAACACGAAGTTATGACTATGGTAAACGGCAAGTAAATCGATACAATGGTCTAGGACTTTTTTATTTACTGCCTATTCCTTTTTAACGGCCGCTTATTATGTGAAATATAACTACAATGATGCTGAAATATTTCCAAAATTCCAGACCGCTGGTGTCTGCCGTGGGGAACGAACACGATATTACCCTTTCCACTAACACGTTCACCATTACACCATGCGTTCGCTCCCCACCACAGACACTAGCGGTCCGGAGTTTCGCAAATATCTCAGCACCAATATGGTTACAAATGTTTAATTGTTACTTACTACCCAGTCTTTGCCCATGGCAGGTTATTGTGTGAAAACACAAATAAATATAGTAACTATACCACAGTAAATACTTTATGCTATAACTCCAAAGGATCGCCTTTCTTACTTGTATGTATGTCCTTACGAACTGCCCTTATCTAGCTGATGCAATGTGGGTACAGATCTTCTTACAACAACAACAATACGAAGACCTATACCAACTTTGCGTCAGCTAAAGTACAGTTCTTAAGCACTTTGCGCTATAAAAGCCAAAAACTTTCGGCTGCTAACCTCCGAGACAAGTCTGGTACCATCTTGCCCACCACAGAGGGATAGAATGCTTGGTGAACCACGAACGCACGGACCGATTCCCTGTGTGTGTTGCAGGGTGCCTCCAACCAGCACGCCGCACGCGTTCCTATGACTATGTGCAAGCGAATTCTGGCTTACGATATATTATAGCAAAGATATCATCGTACTAAATTTACTGCAGAAAACAGTAATAATCAGAATGTAGTAACAAATTCCAGTGTGCTATTTAGGAAATAGCGAATTATCGATCGATGCGGAGGTTAATGTGAAGACGGTCTTGGGAATGATAGGACGCCTACGCAATACTTAATCCGTTGCTCTTTACAGTTCTCAGTACGACACTAGGTCCTACAGTTCTACTTGAAATGCTCTGGCCATGAGTTTTGCTGGCGAATTTCGTTTTATTTGGAAGTAATAACGGGATTTTACCAGCACAATCTAGTACAACTCCCATAAAAGGATAAAGGATAAAGATCCCGGCGTTTATCAATCCCTGAGGGATGCACCATGCAGGCGACTTCATTAAGCACCGTCAGAGGTGAATGAATGCATATTTGGCTTTTACAATGACTCGCGGTGGCTTACCGACGTATCGAGCCGGTGCTGCTATCCTCTCAGACAAGTCTGGTGACAATTTGTCGACAGGGTGGGATGCAACGCTTGGTGAGCCTTAGATGCCGTGACCGATCCCATGTGTATTTCAGGGCATCTCCAACCACTGCGCCACACGCGTCCCTAAAATCCCCCCAAACCCCCTTCGCTTTTAACACATTTCCACAGATCTCTGCAAATAGGCGAATAAAAAACAAATATCGCGACAATACGAAGGGCATGACGATGCAAGAGAACTGAACGAAATCTCAGTTGGACTTTATGAATAGAATGTGGCGGAAACAGAAGCATCCGAAAACATCGAAACGGCCACTGTTGTCCGTGGGTCATGTATTGGCTGTAGAGCAATTCGTGGCGGTCTCCGTACAGGGCAAGCAGAACTTCGGGAAACCACGTCACGTTTGGATATTTTTGGACTTTCTTGTGGTCATTCCACGCTCTATGGTTTTGTTTCTAGTTATCGAGTTTTTTTTCTGGTGAGTTCTATGCAATCCTTTACTGCTCGATAGCTTTTCCCGTAGTTTGTGCCTATTAGGGCCCAGTTTGAGGCGTACATCGCTGGCCATTATGCGAATGTTGCCTTTGGTTTCTCTCTATTTTTGGTTTGCTCTGGAAGTTTCGGTTTTAGTTGGGTAACGAGGGGAACGACTGTCAATATTACGGCGAATGATCAAATTTCCTGAGTCGTTTAATGGTGTACGGCGTCTTAGCCGTGGTTGGCTCAAAACTCGTGTTTTGAATGGCTTTTTTAGCCAGTCCTTTTCTCAATAGTACTCCTCTAAGCTTCTACAGGTCAGCTCATCTTCCGTCTCACTGGACGAGAACTGGTTCTTTACGGGTAATTTTATATGGGTATGCTTTTCTGTAGGTGAAGCTTTTATGTTGTTATTAGGAGCGAGCACATGCGTGTAGATTCTGTATGTCGAGGTTTCTTAATTCCGTGGGCATTTATAACTTATTGTGGTCCCAAGTATCTTTTCTAAGTTACTTTTCGCTTTTATTTTCTTTTTTTACTGAGAATTACCTCTCAATATTTGTTGTTGGTGATGTTGCTGTAGCTGAACATGAAGAGATGTTGAGCAGGATATCGTTAAACAGATTCTGGGCTTTCACTTTGGAGCTGAGTATTCTACTTTGGTGTTTGCTGTATTCCTAGTGGGTTCCACTTGAGTGGGTTTTCTAGTTTCTCCATCTAAGTGTTTCTTATAGGGTATAGAAGGAAAGCGTACACATAACATGTTTGTGAATGTCATCGGATTCACGATATTAACTTTTTGTTTGGCGAAACGAGTCCGCATGGTGTGGTGGTGAGCAGGTTAGCCCCCGGAAAGGTAGTAGCGTGTTCGATCCCATCGCAGACACCTGTGGTCAGAAGTTTTGCAAATACTCAGCATCGTTATGGTTGTCATAGGTTTGTTTCAATTTTTTTCACTATATCTGTTAAAAATATTTTCTTCTCCACTTTTATGAGTACAGACGTGTTCGCTTTATTATGCCTGTCTCCTCAATTACTTGAGTTTTTTTTTTCTTTCTGTTCTCAACAACACCTCGAGTTCATGAGATCCGTCCGATTGGATGATGCTGGAGAAGAGTTCATTACGAATTCTGTGTTATATACGCCATTCCTTGTCTCATAAATATCTCATCATTGCTTTTATTAACTTTTGTATAACCGGAATGGTACACGAACGAAGGAGATTTTGTTTATCAGATATACTTTACCAATTTATGGATCCCGAGGTTGTTGTACTTCCATGATTTATCCCAAACGGAGCACAAATGTTCCGTTATCTAAGTTTGTCGTTATGAGTTTTTCCGACTCCCGTTTATAGGTCGGATCTGCCACCATTTTCTCGTATATGTCATTTACAATATTAGCCTGATTTCCACTTTAAAAATTGCGTTCCTAATCACCTTATAAAAGTAATCCTTTCCTTTCAGTTTGTTACTATAGCTGCCTTCGTGATCTTTCAGTGACTGGAGTGGGTGATATTCTCGTTTTCATTCGTAGCTGTTGCGTCCTAGAGTCTCCAACTCTCTTTGCTAAGGGAAGGAAAAACATCCGTTTCGAGTACTCCTCACTACTGTCACAGTCCTGAATAGGTGATTTCAGTTTAAGAACCGACGTCTGCAATTGATTTTTCGTGGGATTCGGCCGCTGATCGTAGCTTTTGTCGATCGGTTGTTTTCCAAAAGCGTCGCCCACTTGTTCATGTTCAATCGCTTCATAGATCCTTCATCATCGTCTTAGTTTCTGTTTCGATTTTTCTTTCTTAATTGCGTACAGAGCACTCCTTTCCTGTCATCTTAATCCCTTATCTTATGGAAGTTAAAATGTCCTTACTTTCAGCAGATGAGTGCTTCTCATCGATTTATGACCTCTGAGGGCCTGATGCCATCAACAATATTTGACAAAGGTGTGCTTCTGTTAACCATATCTTCTGTTTTTTGGTATTCACATTTTTGTAGAAATTAATAGGCGTGAGGTTGCTTTATTTTATATCATTCACTTTTTCTTGAAGCCGTGATCATTTAAGGAAACGCTGATATGGACGTCTCAGAAGAGATGGAGGAGGTCAGGGAGTTACTGTACGAAATGATAAAGAAGAACTTCCCGATGGGTGTATCGTCATCTCACTTGGCTCAGAAATACCATGAAGAGTGGGATTATTTGCTTTGTTTTGTGTATTACCACCACTGCTGTTTTTTGTTCCTTTCTGAGTGTCGAGAACAGGAATCCTTGCAAATCTTCGCACGTAGCTGAGCCTTCAGCAAAGAAACTTGATAATTAATGCCAATATGAGCTTTGAACAAATCATACTCTGGGTCCCAAGACAGCAGATTTATAATCACATACTTCTATGGCCATAAAAGAAAAAGCTCTCGGCGTTGATTAATCCCTGAGGGATGCGCCATGCATTCGATTTCACTAAGCATCGTTTGGAGGAAATTGAATGCATATCTGGCCTTTAGAATGACTAACGGTGGCCTATCGATGTATCGAGCCAGTGCTCCTATCCTCCTAGACAAGTCTGGCACCAATTTGCCGAACCCGGAGGGATGGAAGGTTTGGTGAGTTTTGGGCTTGGGGATCGATCCCATATGTATTCCAGGGTGCCTGCGACCACTGGGCCACACCCGTCCAATATTCACGACCATTTTCTCGGATAATTCTACGGCTGTATATTCACGGATAATTACGCGGGACGTGCACAAATTTTCTCCATTATTTTGCCGGCCAAATAACATTTCTCGTAGTGCCCTTATACCCATGAAAGGCGCATTCTAAAGTTCCCTCAACAAGCAGTCTGATTAGACTCTTTCTAGGTCGATACAATAGTTTATCGTTGTTGTGCTCTAAGATTACGCCTGCAAATATATTTATCACCATGAGATCCTGTCAGTAAACCGTCGCTAAAATCGGTAACTATCGACTCTAAATCATAAGAAGGTTTCGGTCCACGCAAATCGGAAAAGATTGTGGAGAGATATACAGTTTCCCTTCTCTTCTACTATGCAGATAAGTGACAAGAACTTTTCCACAACAATCGTGTTTTTCTTTTCCTTTACCGCTGTTCTGCGTGAGGTGAACGCGAACAAGTCATTTCCTCTCAAGCGACCAAACTTACTTTTGTATTTTCTAAGGTGAGTACGAAATGCTGGTAGCATAAATGTTCTGCTGTAATCACCTGCTATTTGTATTGTCAATACCTGCGAAATTATAAATGTCCATCTAGTATAATTTTGTGCCGCTATTTTTCGTCATACAGACGTTAACTTCGTATTCGACTTCGCAGATAGTTCACAGCCTGGCCAACATAACATAAACTGATCGTCCAGACTTAGAGAGTGTCCTCGATAGCCGTAGGACTCGCCATTGAACATAGAACGCTAAATTAAACTAGTCCGGCGGCAGTGCTAGCAAAGATTCTGACCACGTATTCCAATTTTTTTCCCGATGTGAGCGGATAGTTTGCAATGATGCAATGACTGAGTAGTGATTTTCTCACCATTAACACTGTTTCATTTTTGAGAAAAGAAACAGCTCAGAAGCACATCTGCTGTGTCGAAAGCTTAGCGTAGTATGGGCAACAGTGAGAGCAAAGGAAGACCTGGTTCGTGTATAACTTCTTCGTGCGAAAAAGTAATGGTGATTTTTATGATTTCCGATCCTCATTTTGATATTTCCAAGACGTTCTTCTATTATTATCATTATTTTTATTACTATTATTATTATTGTTATTATTATTATTATGTGTACACACTGAGCGTGTAATATAGTGGTTAGAGGTACCCTGTATCATACACAATGGTGCTTGTTTCGATCCCGCACCCCGGTATCAGAAAGCCCTTCATCCCTCCGGGGTCGGCAGACTGGTACCAAACTTGTCTAGGAGGATGGCAGCATAGACTGGATATATCGGAAAGCTTCCACAAGTACTATCCAGAAATCCATTCAGTCGTTTCTAACGATACTTGGTGAACTCGAATGCATGGCGCATCATTCAGGGATTGATCAATGCCGAGCTTCATATTTAGACATAAATTATACTACTACCATTGATCTTCGTCCATGTAGCGGTTCTGGGTCCTCGAGAAAAACTTCTGGGCTATGCCGTGTATATAATATTAATTCAGGAAAGGCAAGAATTTTGCTTCAGTGCTCTTGAGACTTATAATTTTAAAAAAATCAGGAATGAAAACTATATTTTATTGAAACTGTACATTTAAAGAGGTAGTACAAGGATTACTCTAAAATCCTATCATGTTTTAAACTTCCTCACTACAGCAAGGCTTGAAAAATTGTCGTCAGTCGTCGAAAAACCGACTTCGACGCGTGTCAAATTTAGAACCTTCCATTTTTTCAGCACCTTTCATTTGTTGGCAGTAGCGTTCGTACTACAATTTTATTTATATTATATATTAAATGTAAGTGCAATGTCCGAGGCGCCGTGCTATACACATGGGATCAATCCCCGTGCCTATGGCTCACCAAGCCATTCAAGCTAAGCCACTTCCATTCATTCACCAAGCTCACCATTCATCCGGGGTAGGCAAGTTGATGCCAGACCTGTCTGGGAGGATAGCAGCACTGGCTCGATACATCGGTAGGCCACGGCGAGTCATTGTAAAGGCCTAATATGCATTCAATTACCTCCAACGATGCTTAATGGAGTCAAATACATGGCGCATTCCTCATGGATTGATCAGCGCAGAGAGCTTTATCCTTTTATTATTATGTGTATATTTACCTTATATATATTTGTATATACATATTTGTACATAATATGTATATATATATACTGTATTATTATATTCTCTGTTTATTATATCACTATAATTGTGCACATAGAACGTATATGAATTGTATAGCACTTGAAAATATCCTAGTGCAACATAGTGAAGAGCCATTTTTGTGCACGGTGTCTTTCACTCTGCTGTTTTGTACTTTCTTCTATGATCATCAAGCTAGTAGTATATATTATTTCTAGAGACGAAGTAGTAGCTTCTTTAAGCGATTGTATCCACGCCTCTCATTGCTGGTATTTAAGGTTACGGGGAACTTATGCGTGCCTAGATTTCGAACCATTTGTGTTTCGCATTTACGTTTTTCTACTTCTTTCTTTGTATTATTTTAAACTTGATAATTTATGCTCGACATATTCAGGTACGTCGCAAAGGGACTAGGACGTGAGTTACCTGAGGATTGGCTGGTTCAGGTAACGGAAGCCGAAGAGTTTGAAGCACAAACAAGAGGACCGCTCACTATTCTTTTCGTCCGCCTTTCCAACACCACCTCTTTCAGAAGGTCTCCAACCCCACAGTCTAATGTAAAAGGTATTGCTTTCTCTTATCCATGAAGAATAACCTAAGGCAAATTACCTGGTGTGATGCGAAGTGCACTGAATTTCACCAGGTGCTCGCTTTATGCAATACCACTTCATTAAATTCATGAGAGTAGAGTCATTCGAAGCCATAGTTTTTAGGCCTTTTACTAGCTTTTAGCCTATTTATTATTGTTCATAGCATGCGGTTTGCAAACGGATGCGGTTTTTTCTTCGCTTCTTTTTGTCACCAGTAGCACTTCGTTTAGTCCTCACCTCTGGAAGTGGTCCAAATAACGTAGATCTTTTGAAGCTTAGAAAGGATCGTTACCCTTTACAACATGCGGAAAAGGTGAGCTTTTTCTGAGTTACAGAGACAATGGTCTCATTCGTATACTAGCGAATCCGTTGTTTACGGTACATCCTTTTGTTTCAGCTGTCATGTGTTTCATCTTCACTCAAGGTGAAGTGTGATGTAGTCGTAGTTGCTTTCGAATCATCTAGAGAGTTGTATTTGAGAGCAGTAGCTGATGATTCGTTGTTTGAATCCATGAAGGCTGATATGCGCAAGTTCTACGCTGACAATTCAAGTGATAAACGTGTACATATCTATGTTAGTATCTCAGTCATCTTTAGATGCTTTGAATCTCAATCGTTTACCAAGTTTCAGTTGTATTTCTTTGTAGGAGGTATTGTCTGGTGGTGCTTACGCACTATGCGATGCTGCTGGCGAATGGTTTCGTGTAATCGCCATGGTATGCTGATTTTTCTTTTGATGGCTTCAAAATGATCTAATGCATCAGTGGGTTTTTCACTGTTTAGGAATTACCACGATCTGGTACAATCAAGTGTTTCTTTTGTGATGTTGGAGTGTTTGGTGTTTATCCAGTTGTAGACCTTCGTCTTCTTCCGGATCCTGGGCATCCAATAATGAGCAGTTCGCTTCCACTTATTTCTTTTCTTTTTTATTCACCCTACATGTTCATTTAATGTTTTTGTTCTCCATAGTCATATAGAGGATGTTTTCGTCATCCTTTGGCTTTGATATACATCATGCAATATTATGAAAGTTTTAGATAGAGCTCTTGCGAAACGTGCTAGCCTAGCCGTACCTGATTATGCCATTGGTCAGTCATCTGATGATATTCTTCGTGCTGTTCTTTTTGAAAAAGATGTTGTGGGAAACTTCATTCCTGTTCAGATGCAGGTATTATTTTTACTCTTTTACTAAAAGCATTGGTTTCTCGAATAAAGAACTATTGTAACTTTCTCAGTATTCATATTCTTAACCTCTTATACCGTTTGTTTTAGTTAAATTCGTTAACGGAGACGATATTAAATGGTGAGTCGGTTTGCATAGCCGATTTATGGATGGCTGATGGAAAGTCAATTGTGGACATGGTTATTTCAAATATTCCGGATGCAAATGAGTCTATAAGCCTACTGAAGTATGTCTCTCTCTATACATGTATATATATATATATATATATATACATATATACATGTGTACATATATCCTCCTAACCGTTTATCGCCTAATCGTAGCTGGGAGATGTTCCTGGATGTCGGACTGCGATGTACAGCGGAGAGATTCGTCCTCTCGGCAGGGTTTCCCAAACTGAAAAGGAATCCGGTGTTTCCATCAGGAAGTCTAGTTAAGAGTAAACCAATACCGGGATCCACCATCGTCTTGGTATCAAAGTCGCATGGTGGTAAATCTCCCTCTGATCTACAAGAGCTGCGACTGCCCGTGGTCGTGACGACTTGGGGCAGACTTTGGCCAGGCTGTCGTCGGGATTCCAGGGAACCACAGTTGCTTAACCAGCAAATCTCCGGAAAATGGTGATTATACTGGAGCCCGCACAACTAGTGATGACGGGCCGTTCAAGTATCAAATATATATATATACATGAAAAATATGCATTATACAAAAGTTTTAGATATTACACATAACGTCCTGTTGAGTGGTGGATAGATAATTTACTGTCGATTAGCTGTAAGTGGTTTAGTACTTCCATAGTCGAGTTAGTCTGCTTGTCATCGAGTGAGAGTTGAAGCATGCCAACGAGAGCAATGTTGCTACCTATGTTTTGAAAGTGAATAATTTTCAACTCAGTTGGGTAGAAACTTTGAAATCGCATTTGGCGAAATTAAATTCCAATCGTAATACAACCACAACGTTGCTGAGATATTTGCAAAACTCTGGACCGCAGATGTCTATGGTGGGGAACGAACGCGCTATTGTCCTTTCCGGGGAGTAACGCGTTCACCACCACATCATGCGGGTCCTTTGTTCATAAAATGAAAAAAAAAAATAAAAAATCCAATCGTAATCTTCATAAAACTGTTAGTTTCGTAACTGTTGAACTAGCCGTGTATTTTAAACATTGCTTTAGTGGCGACGAAACATCAACGAGACAGTCACCGTCTTCTTCCGCAAGTCTTCCACCAACAGTCTGCGTTTTTGACGGTGAAATCGAAATTGCACCAATGGAAATTAGTCAGATACCAACTGAAACGTTCTCTGCAAACGCGCTGTTTGCTGCTGGTCCTGGTGATATTAGTCTCCGTCAAGTTTCTCTGGTGAGATTGCTGTCGTTTTTTTCGGTGTTGTGCAGAGAGATCTACTGTTGCTGCAGTATAGAATAAAATTATAGGATCCAATGCCGGATTACATGTACGAAAAATTGGCAGAAGAGTGTCAAATGTCAGATGCTAACTTAACGGGGGATCCTCGACCAGGTGCATTCTATGCAGCATGTATAAATGAGCGATGGGAACGAGTGCAGTGTATTCGGGCAAGCAAAATCGGTAATTTTCGTCCTTACCATTACCTCTTCTATAACTTTTTGTATTCGCGGATCTTTTTGTGTAGGATTGTGTATTTTAAGACACTGCAGCATTCTGTGTTTATCTGATCGACATTGGTGCCTTTCACTACGTAAGAGCGGACGCACTGAGGAGACTAAACGTGAAGACACCGTTCAAGAAAATGCTAATGTTCAAATGCAGAGTACGTCCTTCGCCGTTTTTTTTTCTTAACCGATTTCATGTGTTTGGTTTTCTGATATGCAGAAAATTTTCTTCGCCTCTCCTCATCACGAAAGTGGAAAATCAATTAGACAAGCGAGATATTATCCAGACTTGAGAGATTTTTCCAGAAAGCACCATCCATCTGGGTAGTTACTTGGCTTGCGCAAAAATTTCCAGAAGTTATTCGCTATATTAACGGTTTTTTACGTTTGGGTTCGAACTAGGGTAGGAATGAATGCGTCACCACATCTCTCAACTGTCACCCAGTTGGTTGTGTAATGATTTGGACGTGCTCTACTAAGGTCTTCGTCGCCTTTAAGATAGCCTGGAGCGTTCTAGCCGGTCTCTAATTACCATATAGCCTTAGAACACCTTTGTGAAGAACTCTGCCTGTCAGATAGATGGTCCCTATTGCATGCTTGGGGAACCTAGTTGCTAACGACTCTTATCCATTGTTTGTCATTAGATCGCATCACTTGTCCAACATACTTGATTTCTAACATCTCGGCGTAGACGACGGCATCTGTAATGGTTTAGATTGGTCAAATGTCAAAATTTCTTCTGTTACCTGTGTAACACGGGAGATTCGTAGATTCACCGTCGCCATTGCTTTCTCATTAACGCTCACTGTTCTTGCATCCTGTTCACATATGGTCCAGATTTCATAGTCGTATGTTAGAATAACAAGAATCGCAAAATCTAAAAGGTGCGCATAGAGCCGATTGTTCTTTGTCCTCTTCACTGAATCCTCCACGGTATCTGAGCTCTCTAACCCTCTCGTTCCCTACCCTGGAGCCAACTCGAAGGGCTATTCGCAGTTATCAAAAATCGGAATGATTGTGAAAATAATTTAACGACTGTTCGGCACGTAATTTCTTTTGCCTTCTTGCTCAATCATGCAAAGAAGTGCTTTCTTATTTTTCTAGCAAATGTTTAAGGTGGCTAATGTCATACCAGTGGGTGGACAGGACGTATGGAGTCGTGAGTCACATGAAGCTGTTCGAGAGTTTTTTGAAGCCGGGATGGGAGAAACTGTTATGGTAACGTTTGAATTTTATTATGACATCATCTTTATCCACGTCATTCAAACCCCTACTTTTTTAACCGCAGGTAACCCCAATTACCAACAGTTGCGGTCTTTGGAAACAACTGAACGCACCTGCTGTTCCATTTTTGACAGCAAACATTTCATGCTATGGGCGCGACTTGGCTGAATGGCTCATCTCGCATCAATTAGCGCTTCCAAAGTTGACCCAGTGATGCCTTCTTACAAATAATTTAATTCATGTTTGAAATGCCTTCTTTGATATTTTATTGCTTCCATTTTGTGTTAAATACCTTACCGACAGCATCAGTAGTCGTGCAGTGTGCTTAGAATCCATTTCTGGATAGATCCAATGCTTATTTCTGTGATACTGAGATGCGGTAGATTGTGATACTTTAGTGTCATCTCATGGTGGATTTTTAATATTTAGATGGTTTGGGTTCCTTCACTGTGATGTTTTTCTCCTTGTTTAGTAGTTCTCAATTGCCGTTGCTCACCACCTGCTAATATACTTTTTCCCTAATAAAATCAAATTTTCTATAGATTGAAGTGGTAAGACGAAATGCAGTTTTATATTTTGCAAAGTTGTTCAGTTTAAGTACAGACTTTCTTGTAGTAATTGATTTAGTTACAGTAGTAATCCTTGTACTTAAAATGGAGATGTTCTATGTAGGGTAGCTTAAAAAGCTTAGAAAGTCGAATTCTTCCTAGAAGACAAACCTTCTTTTGTGCTATCGTTTATGTCGATTTGTCTCGCTTTAACTCGGCAGTCGTGCAACGATTTCATTGTTTTCAGTTTCATGTTTTGTTCTACGGTTTAAATTATCTATTGTGCCTTGATTTAAAAGATCTAATTAAAAGAGTTTTTACTGCTGTGATTACGTTTTACGGTATAACCCGACCATTATTCAGGTCGTATCCTTCCGATGTGGGATGTCCTTTCCGTTTCAGAAGACAAAGACTTAGCGAGTTCATAAAATCTCACTGGTCTATAGCTTTTATAATATGTTCTGTTGGAAAGGGTGTCTTCAGTGTTTAGGATGCGTATAGTACGCCCAGGAATATTAAAAGCTGTAATAGTAACTAGTATAGTATGGCTGTTGGTTGATGTCGTAATTTTGTTCTACTACCTCGACTCTGGAAAGTTGACGAATTCAAAGAGGCGGAGGTAAGCCTTTGTTTTGTGACCTTTTCTAGCAGTAACTAGCATTACCTAACCAAGAAACGGAGGTGATCCTCTGTTATTTGGTTTTATCTGGGAGTGAGTAACTTTGTGTCAATACATCAGACTTTGATTTCCACATTTAGTCTACCTGTTCGCGGTGATAGATTGAATGCACCAGATATTTGGAATCCGTTACAAAAACTCGACGAAAAAGAGGTGATTTTACTTATCATCTTTACTATGTCTAGCATGGTTTCTCTTCTGAAAAGTGCTATCACTACTTAGGTAATTGATGTGCCACATGCGAGGGTATTGCCATCGAAGACATCTACACTTGACCCTTTCTTGCAGAGGAAACTAGATAATCTTCTAAGTTGTAAGTACTTTATCCTTATACATGGCTTATTCATATTTAATAGTAGTACAGCGCAGTGTAATGATTTAGTGACACTTTACACAGCTTGGTATGTTGGTTCTTTTCTGCGCTAGTCACTATATCGAGTATTAGCTAGAAACTGGTAAATTAAATTTTTGGAAGTTCACAGTCGGACTTCTCTTTTCATGACCTATGTTCATCTTTCATGTCTTGGTAAATCTAGGATTAAAATATGAGTGCCATATTTATCCTCAAGTTCGCATAACTTCGTTTTTGTTTTCCTTAAGCATGCTTTTTACTGTAGTGACTCGGTAAGTAAGAACGCCTGTAGCGCAGTGGTCGGAGACGCCCTGCAATACACATGGGATCGACCCTCGTGCCCCAGGCTCCCCAAGCCTTCCATCCTTCTGGTGTCTGCAAATTGGTAACGGACTCGTCTGGGAGGGTAGCAGAACTGACTCGATATGCATCGGTTGACCATCGCCAGGCGTTATAAAGGCCCGATGTTTAATGAAGTCGAATTCATGGCGCATCATGGATTGATCAGCGCCGTGAGCTTTACTTTATCCTTTTAACTCAGTAATAAATTTTAGTTTCTTCTTTTCACTATTCACGTCCGATGTCTTTTTTATTACTTGGATCTCTTATTGTACACGATGATTTGTTATTCCATTGGCCTTGGAGAAAAGATATAACATCCGAAGAGATCAATGCTAAGTCTAAGTTTTTTCTGGTAATACTAGTTGTGAAAACTTCTAGGTTTTTCAAACATTTTTTTTGATGAGGCATTCAGATTAGGACCGCCATGTCTTTTGACTTTTGAGTAGTAGAGAATTTCTGTAACTATATATTTAGCTTCATTTCTTTGCTTTAATTCTCATTCAGTGAAATCATTTCAACCACCTGAGTTTGGTGAAGCTGGTACTGGCGTTGTAATACCAGCAGATTTATCAGCTGAGAAGGATAAAAGGTTCTTGGAAAATCAGTTTAACGTTGTAAGTAATGCGATCTCAATATTCAAATACTGAGTAAACTACTTTGTGTTATCGCTTTTTCTTGTTCTCCGCTTTCAGATGGCTAGCGAAATGATTTCTGTGAATAGGTCTTTACCTGATTATCGTTCATCACAGTACGTTTTCACTTTTTCGAAACCACTAAGTTGTTAAGTGAATCCCACTTCTTTGGTAAATTCTAATTTTCAGGTGCCAAAGTAGGACCTATGCAGCGGATCTCCCAAAAACATCAATTATAATTGTTTTCCATAATGAAGCATGGACAACGCTGCTTCGTACTTTACACTCTGTGATTAACAGGTATTTTTGTTAATATTTTCGTCACATTTTCTTTTTCAAAGTGATATAGACCTGGTTTTTTAAACATTTTATTCAGGTCTCCTCACCATTTGTTGGAGGAGATTATTCTAATCGATGACTTATCTGATCGAGACTATCTCAAGGAGCCACTAGACGAATACATCAAACGGTTTCCCGTTGGTTGATCTTATATTGATGATCTTATGCATCTTTTTACGAAGAGGAAGAACTATTTCTTGATTCCAAGTCTTCTTCTTGTAGATTAAAATACGAATCACTCATTTGAAACAACGAAGTGGACTGATACGTGCGCGTTTACATGGTTCGGAAATGGCTAAGGGTCGTATCATCTTGTTTCTTGATGCACACGTGGAGGTAATCTTTGTTGGATAAAATACTCTAGGTAGAAAATTAGGGCCATAGTGTTTTCTTTAAAGAGTGTGTCTTCTCTGAGTTGGATCTTGTTTATAATTGTCGTCTAACAATGGCTTTTTATTTCTTGCCTACTACAATTTTTACGTCAGAGTATTATATGAAATACATCTATAGTGATGGTGAGATATTTGCAAAATCTGCAGGTGTCTGCGGTGGGTATCCAACACATTATTTCCATTTCCGGGGCTGTCGCGTTCGCCACTACATCATGTTTGTCCTTCGTTTAGCCTGTCTCTCAGTTCCCCAGATCTCTTTATCCATTCTAGCGAAGAACAACCAAAAGTGTATCGTTCCAGTAATTTCGACTACAGCCTCAGCTTAACTGCGTTCTGTGCCGATTTGTGCTCCCCAGACCAATCCCGCTCACGGGTGATTGCTGTTGGCAAAAGGTCGATAGGACTAGCTGAGAGGCAGGCGAAGCGAAGGATCCGCATGGTGTGGTGGTGAACGCGTGACTCCCCGGAAAGGACAATAGCGCGTTCGTTCCGCGCCGCAGACACCTACGGTCGGGGTTTGCAAATGTCTCAGCATCATTATGATTGTCATTTAATTTGTTTAAAATCGTTCAGGAACCGTTTGTGTTTTGTATTTGTTTTAATCAGGAGGAAAGATTTGCTGTAGGTTACCCATGGATGGCTCGAACCGCTTCTAGAACGGGTTGCAGATGATAGGAAACGTGTTGTCGCCCCCATTATCGATGTGATTTCCGGTGAAATTCGCGTTTCGGTTCAAAAACTGCTTTTTGAATTATTTTGATTTTCATACATTTCGGTTCTTTCCAGATGATACATTTGAGTATGTGACTGCTTCTGATACAACGTGGGGAGGTTTTAATTGGCATTTGAATTTCCGATGGTATCCTGTACCGAAAAGGGAGATGATCAGAAGGAATGGTGATCATTCTTCACCTATTCAGTGAGTGTATCAGTAAGATAGTTATGACATGGAATTACTTTCTCCCTACTTTTGATTCAGGACCCCAACCATTGCTGGAGGTTTATTCGCAATCGATAGACAATTCTTTTATGATATTGGTTCTTACGACGAGGGAATGCAAGTATGGGGCGGTGAAAATCTCGAGATATCCTTCAGAGTTAGCCGTATAATTCCTGTTCTTTATTTTTTGGTCTTTGAATTTAATGCATGTTTTCTATAGGTATGGATGTGCGGTGGTTCGTTAGAAATTCATCCATGTTCTCGTGTTGGACATGTGTTCCGTAAACAAACCCCGTATACGTTCCCAGGTGGTACTGCCAAGGTCTTGTCTCTAATTGTTCGATTAAATGTTTGCTTACAATTTTTTATTATTCGTTCTAAAACAGAGCAGCTCGTTAATTCAGTGACAAGAATGCGAAGATGGTTGTAATTCGAAGAGCTACATTTTCAAATCTGTTTTAGCGCTATGAGTTTCGGTACTCTCTAGAGAAGAATTCCTGGATTTCTAGGAAACCACGTCCAAATTATCATCTTGTTGTTATTATTTAAATGCAAAACCTCTAGGCGCAAAGGTTGCTAAGGGTTGTGTATTGCTAGTATCAAATACGGTTCTTTTTATGGTCTTCGTCACAGGCGAATATGTGATTTGCCCATTCATCCTGTCACTGCAAAAATTGCTGAGTAAATTCTACTCGGCCAAACTCCATATTTTCCTTTCACAGCTATTGTGAAAAAGTCTGGTGATCGGTTCGGTGGTCTCCATTGTACCCTTGACATCTTGTGAAACTTGGTCACGTGAAAATCTTCAGGTCATTCCATTCAGCATGTTTTTTTTTTACTGCGATTCATTTATTCGATCTGATTTGTGGGAATGCCCTGATTTTCAATCGTGGACTAATGAAGAATTTCGTATTCTTTGGGATATCCTTGAGGTTTTACTGGCGATAACATAATTCGAATACCTTACCGCATTTCAGTCTTACTTTCCTAAGCTGTTCACTGTGTTAAGTTCACTACTTACATACAGCTTCAAACAAACTAGTTTCCTGTGAGCGAGTTTTTCACGTTTTTAAAGATTTAAGAGAGGCCTATGTTTCCACATGCGATGTCAAAATCGAGACAGAAATCGTTTTGTGTTCGTGTGCTAAATTTCTAGGTTGCGCATAGCACAGTGGTAGTGATTCCGGTCATCACGAGTGCGGAACTGGTTGGATCTCGTTTCGGGGTCAAAAAGCATATCATCCCTCCAGGGTAGGGGAATTGGTGCTGGACCTGACTGGGGAAAATTCGCTCTCTGCAATCCAATTATGAACGCTCTAGTCCGGCTATCTCAGGACTCCAGTAGGAATCGCCTCGACCGCCATTCTACGACATTCGAGATGAAATGAAAATCCTCAAGCAGCAGCCCAAGGCACAAATAATAGTTGGAAAGCCTCAGTGGATTATTGATTCGAGGAAACGAATCGAATGCGAGATATTCTGAGATCCACACTGTGGATGTGAAGATGGGCCGTCTAAAAAATAAAAGGAAAAGGAATGAAAATGAGTTCTAGCAATTCTTTAAGTGTTCTGGTATGATAGTGGACAGTGATTTCCTTCCGACAAGGAAACATATTGGACTACGTTAGGTACAAGCGATGGTATATCTGTCCCTAAGACGATATGAGGGAAAGTTTATGTAAATGTCTAGGTGATTGTAATAGAACTCGTCGGTCTTCTCTACATTGACCTTCCGAAGGCTTGTTTTATCGGAATGTCGGGATGCTATCATCGTGGAATTTTAAGCTTTAAGCAGGTTCTATGAAAGTTTTTGTTACCCCCTACATTCGCTTCTCGCTGCCCTCTCTCCATCTCCCTTTATCTCTCTTTCCCTCTCTTTCTATCCATCTCCCCCTCTCTGTTACTCTCTTTACGTACCCACTTAATATTTTCAATGCAGTTTTGTAGGCTTAGAACTGAAGTATGCCGATGTACTTGTACCATTGGACGTCAACTTTTAATTTCTGAACTTATTAGCTTCGAAACTTCCTGATTTTATATTGTTTTCCGCATTTGTTGAGCCCTATTCAGAAAATGTTAATGATCTCTGTACCCTTGTTACTCGGTTACATACGTCTGTTTTTGGAGAATAGAAGTGAACGATAGGAATTTTATAACCAATGTTTTCAAATTTACAAATAAGGTTTTAATTGCAAAGTTCTTAATCCTAATGACAGCTAATTACAAACTTGTTCTCTGGACGTTATTTGTCTTTTGTCTTCTATCAATTAGAGGTAATTTCAACTCATACTGCTTTTCTAGGTCATTCATCACAATGCTGCACGAACAGCTGAAGTCTGGATGGACGAATACAAGCAGTTTTTCTACAAAATGGTTCCGTGTAAGTGGTCTTTCATTTCGAGAGAGGGCGAAGCGGCTTCCTTATGGCGTTACGACACTAGTGACTATGTTATCGCGGTGAAGGCCGTGATTCGTGGAATTGGTTTACAGTTTTCTGGGTTTGTAGGTGGAAATGTCAAACCCATTTTCGGCTTGGGAGACCTTATTGCTATGTTGAGATCCCACTCTGCATCGAAATTTGACGCTTAATAGCACACATGTTAAGCGGTAAACTACCATGGGAAATTTTTTTTATTGTGTATCATTGTTAACATGACTGGGATTAATTCTCTTAATACTGGGATTAAACATGCTAGAGTAAAACCACCACCATGGACGACGATTGTCAGAGAAAGACACGAATGTTAGATGAGCTGGGGTCTGCAGAATTCGTGGTGGACGTTCCAAGTATCCGAGTAAGTAAGTAAATTTACATGACATGTCACATCTACTTTGCTAATCCCAGCACTTTCTGCATTCGATTCCTTTTCCTCGAATTCCTTATCCACGAAGGTCTTCGAACATTCTGCATGTTTTTTCGGCCGCTGCTTGAGTGTTTCATCTTCTTTATGAATGTCGCAAATTGCTGGTCGAGTCACTTCTTCCCAACATCTTGGAGATAGCCGAGTTAACGCATTTCCACGTGGACTGGAGGGTAGCGTTGAGAGGGGGAGGTAGGTTTAACCAGCATCTTGCTTCCGAATGGCTCCATCACTAACCACTGCACCACTACTCTCCAAGAATGGAAAATAATTGGAATCTAAAGTTCTTTGCGAACAAGATGCAAGTTTTTATTCTGCAAAGGTGAAATTCCGGTTTCTTCTTGTAGCCTGCAAGTTAAATCGTTTTCTTTCTCACCTGAATGAATCGAGATTCGACGCGACGACTGTTGCGATCGAAGGAACGAGATTTAGTTCAGAAGGAGGCGATCCAGTCCCCGCTTTCGCGTTTGGGTTTAGTCCTAAGTTTAACTTTTTTACAATTTTCAATTTAAAAAGGCCTTTTTTGCAAGAAAAGTATGGGGTATTAAAATACTAGGAAAACTCTGCGAGTCTACGAACTTCTCCCTAGCTATTCTAATTATCGAAAACCGCGTCGTGCAGTAGTGGCCATCGTTTTCCTTTTTTACTTTATTTCGTCATAAAATTCTCAACTTTCGTTTGTGTTCTTAAATCATTTGCAATGTTTAGCTGCACGACATGTTGACGCTGGTGACCTCTCCAGCAGGCAACAGCTTCGTGCCAATTTGCAATGCAAATCCTTCGAGTGGTTTGTTTCTTTCCTATCAATATCACTTTTTTACAGTCCACCTGTTCTTCATCTCCTTTGTTTAGGTACTTGAGAAATATATATCCTGAAGCTCCTGTTCCATACGATTTCAAATCCATTGGTGCTATTTTTAACAAGGTTTCCACCTTGAAAGATTTGCGGTATTATGTTTTCAATAGTTTCCACGTTTTTATTTTTAGGATTTAAGACTATGTTTTGATACAATGGCTAAGAAGGATGGCCCGGTTGGGTTGCAGCCTTGCCATGGTTCGGGTGGTAATCAGGTTAGTAGAAGAGCGCCGAGTGCTGCTTCATTCCCATGTAATTTTCATGCATGGGCTCTAATCTATAACGTAATCCGTGCAATAACAATAGTTTCTCTTTTCGAAACTTTTTTCTTTTTTTTTCTTTCTTTTCTTCTTTCCGAAAACTTTTCTTATTGAAATATGCGAAGATCGTAGTAAACTTCCTATATATCGTACATAATAATGAAATATTGTAGGCGTGGTCGTTAACAGGACGTGGAGAAGTTCGCTCAGATGATTTGTGTCTTTCTGCAGGCTCATCGTTGTCCATGGATAACATAGTCCGAATAGAACGGTGTAATGTGGCCTCAACGAATCCGAAACATCTTTTCAAATATAATCCTGAGGTGGCTAGTATTTGTAATGGATTGAGGAAATCGTTTTAACAGTGAAATATGGGATATTCCACTCATCGAAGATTACATTGTCTTCAGTGTTTTCCACTTCAGAATGGACTACTGGTTCATGTTAAGACGGGCCGTTGTTTATCGATACTCTCTCAAAAGGAGGTAGGATTGTTGAAGTGCGACTATTCGCCCGAACAGATATGGTCTGTGGAGGGCTACATGATGTAACCTCTCGACTCGTATCCTCATCGTCGCTGTCTTCCAGTGGAATACTGTGATCGACTATCTCAATTTCTGTTTTTATCCGATGCTTTACGCATTGTTCTGCCTCTCTCGGGAAATGTACCCATCCAGTGGTTGTATTTTGACGTTTTTCTTTTTAATTTGTATACATCCCGTAATATGGTTGTTTGCTCCTCCTTGTTTCACCACGGTTGTTACCAAGTGTTCTCACTTCTGGTCTTATTCTGAGTGTTCCGTTGTTGTCTTTTCAGATTTGGCCTTGTCTCAAAAGTCCATGTGCTAATGACCTGGTCTTACTATAGTGTTAATATTGTAATAAGAGTAGAATTTATAATCCTAATTATTAGGAGAGTAGTCATCTGTGGATATTAAATATCTCATCTTTCGGTTGTTAAGTCTTGTGATATGATTGGGTTGTTTACTTTGTCATAGGTTTGATTGGGTTTGCTGAGGTAAATGTTTTCATGTTAGATTTCGTTTTTATCGATCCAAACTCTTCATGGTACTAACCATCCATTACAGCAGGTTTTATTTCCGAGTAATGTACTTTCTACTGGTTCTTGATTTTTAGAGCCTTGTATCTGTATAGATGAGGGAAGAGATTTCTCCAAAATTATTTATTTTACTATCAGTTTATGACCTCGAGAACACGGCTAGTTTTACTTTCCGTGGGTAGAAGGACTCTCAGTGAGTATCAAAAACGAACAAGTTTCATTCACAAATGGAGTAGCTTCAAACGATGGCAAGAGTTGGAGAAGGCCAGGGTATGTTGCTTTCAGAGGAGCTGTGATCAATAGCCATCACTAAATAGAGTGAGGTTATTATGTTTATTTATTTTTCATGACCAGTATATTCACGTCTAGTGTGCGTATCTCAGCACTTTTTGAATTCCATTCGCTACTGGCACCCATCATCCAAGAAGGTCTTTGAACCTTTTGTGTATGGGTTATTTGGAGATTGCGTCTTCGTCTTTATGAATGTCGTTGAATGGTGGTCAAGTCGATTCTTACTGGAGTCCTGCGATAGGCAGACCAGTGTACTCTACCATAGTTTGCATCGAGTGAGCCGTTCACAGACAACTGCGTTGCTAAATTCCCGATTCCGAAGGGATGAGAGCTCTGGTGAACCCGAAGCACGGTGGTACCAGCACCATGGTGATCGGAATCAGTACCACTGGGCTACCCACCCCTTAATTAAACATGGTAATTGGAATTATCTGTATACTACAATGATGCTGAGATATGCTCAAAACTCCGGAAGGCGGGTGTTTGCGGTGAGGATCGAACATGCTGTTAGCCTTTGCAGGGGCTAACGCGTTCGCCACTACACCATGCGGGTCCTTCGTTTCGTTTTTCTCTCAGCCATGTTTCTGTAGGTGCTGTGAACAATCACCCATCAACTAGATTGATCTGGGGAGCAGAAATCGACATTAAAACCAGTTAAGCTGAAGGTGTAGTATGAATCACAATGTAGTCAGTTTTTATTCACTGCCTATTCTTTTTTTATGGCGGAGTATGATGTCAGATACAACTACAGGGATAGGATTTAGCCAAACGGCGGGCTGGTATCGTTAAACAACGAAGTTGTACGCTTGTTTTTAACAATCGCGTGGAAAGGAAACTAGTTCCCGTTTGAAAAGAATACGTTTGCAGTTGCATGATTGTTGGCAGAAACAAGAACACTGTTATATTTTAGAAACTTGAAGTATTTTTTGAGACTATCCTCACTACATCTCCCCACGGTTTACCGCTTCGTTGTGACTGGGTGGTTCCAGGGTGTCGGGTTCGGATGTGCAATGGAGGGATCCTTTCTCCTAGTAGAGCCTCTCAAGCTGAGAAGTCCGACGTTTCCATGAAGAAGACCAGCTAAGAGTAAATCAATACCAACATCTATCACCGTCCTGGTATCAAACTAGTCGCGTCTGGCAAATCTTCCTCTGATCCACAGGGGCGGCGACTGCTTGTGGTTGTGAAGACCTGGGGCAGACTTTGGCTAGGCTGACCTTGGGACTCCAGCGAACTGCAATGGCTAGATCAGCAAAACTCCGAGAAAGTGGAAATTATGCTGAGGCCCGGTGAAGCTTGGTCTTCCAAGTATCCAAGTATCCTCACTACAGACGTGAAGGTGTGGTATGAAATTAGTAAGGTTTCGTTTAAAGAAATACATTTGCCACTTATTAGAGCGGATTGTTCTAAGCTAAATCAAATACGATATATCTCACCATTGGCTGCATTTTCGATCGGTCAAAACTTCTTATTTTCTCATTAGTGGTGTCTCCTACGCGTGACTGTATTGATACATTAGCTACTTTTAGGAAGAGCATGAACACGAGCGTGAATTGCAGAAAAATTTCATCAGATTTCCCACAGGAATGTATCTAACTCCAGAACGTCCTCAGGATGGTGAGAATTGCGTTTCATAGCTGTTTGTAACTAAGGTTATTATATTCGCCTGCAGTTATTTCCACGTCAGAGAATCAGTTTCTTTCATGGTACGCATGTGAACTTTTGTTTGGTATTCCGTTTTGATAATCGAGTAGAAATCAAATGTTTGTAGAACAGAATAATGCATATTTAGTAGAGTTTAGCAACCGATAGGAGACGTGTAGCGCAGTGGTCGGAGGAGCCCTGCGATACACACGGGATCGATCCTCGCGCTCACGGTCCACCAAGCCTTCCATTCCTCCGTGGTCGGCAAATTGGTACCAGACTTGTCTGGGAGGATAACAGCACTGGCTCGATACATCGGTAGGCCACCGCTATTCATTGTAAAGGCCAGATATGCATTCAATTACTTCCAACGATACTTAATGGAGTCGAATGCATGCCGCATCTTTCAGGGGCTGATCAATACCAGGAGATTTGTCCTTTTTGTCTTATTACTTTTTTAAAATTAAAGTTTCGTTGCTGTAGTGCAAACATTTAATGGTGAAGAGTCTGTGGCACATATATGCAAAAGACGTCTAAAAATGTATATTAGCACTGCAGCTTATGCGTTTTTAGTACTACCAAAAAAGGATAGAGCCGATCAAACTCGAAAAGACACCGGAGCGATGCCAATGGAAGTGCTTACTGCTCACACACAGATGCGATATGTCGACCACAGTTTCGACAACATTCGACGTTTTCGACGATATCGGCATTTTCAGCACCTTCAATATGACCAGAGGTGGGATTTTGATGACTTTGTAAAGCTTGTCCAGAAATACCCAAGGAATATGAAATCGATATGGAATTCTCTTAGAATGATTCCGGAGAGGCTGTTGTTTTTGGGCCCAGACTTGGCAGCTGCCCATTTTCTGGTTCATAGAGGTGCCTCCGTCAAGTTTGTTGGTGATGATACGTGGTACAAGAAGGATAAAAACAGTGTACGTCTGCTACTTATGCTTCTCTTTTTATTAGAACATACTTCTGCTTTTCGAGCATACTATTTTTTTAGCGCTACAACCTTCCAGGAACAAAAATTCCTGGTCTTTATTTAGAGGCAATAGACGCTTCTGGAACCGAGCTTATGTTTGAAGGTGCTTAACATTAGTTTCTGCTACAGTCGATTTTCCACTAAACGTTTTCGATTTGCAGGTTTCGAGAATCTTCAAAGCTTAAATCACCTGAGGATGTTAAGGTTGGCAGATTGTCCCTACATCGATGACTGGGCACTGTCGAGAATTGGAGGGATGATGGATCGTCTAGAAATGTTAGATTTAAGCGGTTGTCATCGCGTTTCAGCGAAAGGTAAGTGACTACAGTTACGTATGTTGAGTACTATAAATTAATGCTTTCTTCTTGAGCAGACATAAGGTTGTTTCGACAGTTTCGCCTTGTTCAGATCCTGGATTTTATAATTGGCATGCAGTGCACTCATTCGAGCATTTTCATAACCACAGCAAAGAGAAACTCATTACAAAAACTTCATTCGCATGGTAGATAGCACCTTTAAACATTTATCGTTTTTTCTACTTCTGTTCAGCAAACACGAGGTGTTATTTTATTTCTTTATTTACGTACAAGCTGACGTTTCGGCGGATTTCGCCTTCCTCAGAGCCTGGAAAGGTCAAGTTCACTACAATCTACACGGCCAAACACCTCCATAACCAAACAGAGAAAATGCTGAACAAAATTTCAATCACATTGAACACAGAGTCTCTGCACACTCACCGCTTTCTATGAGTGCTTTTACCGTTTTGCTTTTACAAGCGTTCCAGTTATTGGTAGAAGCCAACCGCATAGAGTCTGAACGCTGAGGAATATGCATGACTTGGATTGGAAAATCAGCCTGAGATACGGCACAAGGTCGCGCGTGATCGTTACACTCTCTACCTTTCGTTTCTTCTTTGGGTTTTTGGATTCTATCCAAAATACTTCAGGACTTTTTAGCGCTGATGCTTTACATTCTTATACGAGGATAGCAGTTTTATTTCAAAATCTTCAACGTTATGTGTTTGTATTTTATACATGTGTAGTGGAGTGTTTTGTTTGACTCTGTGTTTCCCAGCTAGGTGCTCTTTTACACAGACGCAGAATATCTACACTTAAAAGTAACTGGGTAATGGAAGGTAGCGGTGAAGAATCAAAGAGACGGCGCCGTTGTGTTTTGTGTTAGTGTAAAGTGAATCTTATTAAAGGAAGAATTCTGTCAATACTATTTCAATAATATGGTATAAAAAGTATGGATTCTCTCCATTTATCACACTGTGCCCATCCCAAAATGTCTTGAATTCAGTTCCTCGCATCCGCCATCCACGATAACCTTTGGAAATTTTTTGCATGTAAGTTGTGTTGTTGCGTTGTTGCGAATTTTTACATCAATGTCGTTCAATTCCGATCGAGTGGATTTTATCACTGGTCTCCTGAGATAGCCGTGTTAGGCTGTTACCATGGATAAGCGGGAGCGAATTTCTCCAGGAGTACCCTGACACCACTGGTGGATATAAAGTGGATATAAATGGAAAAAGCAGAACAAATACTTTTTATGAGGTCCCGACTCTGAAGAGATGAGAGGCTTGGTGAGCTCGGAACAGAGCAGAACATGGGCATGATGGGCAGTCCCTGTAAAGAACGGTTTCGCTATCACTGCGCTACCCGCCCCGTCGTTTGATAATCGTGACTTTTATTTCAAAATTTTCTTTGTCATTTGTTTGTGCCCTATGTGTGCCTAGTGGAGTGTTTTGTCCGACATCAAGTTTCTCAAGCACATGCTCTTCTAAACGGATGCAGATCTTGGTCTTCGCATTGCGCCAACGTATTATCCTCCCGCCGCCCGACGTTTAAAAATAAATCAGGAACACTGCAGCCGAACACATGCGACCACTATCTTCACAGTTAGTTCAAACTATGCAATTTTGTGTTACACACAGAGGGCCACACACATGCATACAAGCGCTTATGAACTAGATAACCCACTCGAGCAGGATTCAACGATATTGATGACGAAGATGTAAAAATCCGCAGCAGCGGAAATTTCCAAAGGTTTTCGTAGATGGTGGATGCGAGGAAACGAATCGAATTCAAGAAATGCTGGAATCGGCACATGTGATATCGGGTCTTGTAATAATAATGGAATAAGTAATCTTCGTATGGGAATCAAACATCAATGTGCGAAAGGATTTTGCGTAAATTCCAAAAACTGGGAAATGAGCCATAGAGAGGAGTGCCTTGTGATCACGTATGACCTCACGCAGTAGCTAAGGTCGTTTTTTCTACATGAGGCAGGCATGTTCCTCAACGGTAAGACTCAGTGCGGGTGTTCTCTATTAATAACCGTAATACTTGGAAACAAAACGGCGAATGCTTAAAAGAACTCGGTGAATTAAAAGTTATGAATTAAGTTTTTACGCTGAGATTACAAGGTGTGTGACTGAATAGATTGTATGTCAATCTGACCTTCCTAAGCTATTAAGAGGACGAATTTGCCGAAACATGGGCCATTGTGTTGGATCGCGCATTCATTAGCAGTCTCTGTATGCTGAAGAAAAGATTTTTTCTCTTATTAGACAATGTTAATGGAAAGGCGGTCTTGCGAGTTTAGTGCTCTAAGTTAAATACTATAATCGAACTTAAATGCTTCTTGTATCATCTCTGTCGCTGGTTTACAAGAATTCTTTACAAGCTGCCCTCAGTTTTTAGCCTTCCACAGGTTTTTATCACACTTACGTTTTTTAACTACTGATAATTTTTCGTTAGTGAGGTTACTTGAATTGTAAGGCTTAGTGACTTACAGAAATGCCTTTACCTTGCCACCACAAGTGTAGTAACCTGTAATATTATTTTCTACCTTCTACTTTCTTCAAGAACGAGTGCTAGAGAGAAGAATTTAGTGGAAGAACTTCAAAAAAAATGTTAACGAAGGAGCAACGGCCAACCAAAGTACAAATCATCTGAAGGCAGCATGGTGTCCTGCTAAACGAAATATTGCTTGCTCAATTAATTTAGCATTCAGTATGCGAACCTCGATTAAGAAAAAAACAAAACGGTTTGCTGGTTCCGTTTGTTTATAACGACCTTTGTATTTAAATGGTTTTCTATCTCTACTGTTAACCTTTACTCGGGGTCGACATACGTTTTCCACTTTTCTCTGACATATTTTTGTCCACCTATAGCCCACATAGACTCATATCGTTGTGAATAAGATGAATTAATCTTAAATCTTCATGTATCGTTGTAACCTGTTTGTGTGTACGCGTCTACAGACCTCTTTTATCTCTAGTATTTGTAATGTCTCCCAAGCTGAGAAGGAGTCCAGCGTTTCCATCAGGAAGCCTGACCACCATCCTGGTATCAAAGTCACATGGTGGCAAATCTCCCTCTGATCCACAAGCGCTGCGATTGCCCGTGGTGGTGAAGACTTGGAACAGACTTTGGCTAAGCTGTCCCCGGGATTGCAGGGAACCACAATGGCTTAACCAGCAAATTTCCGATAAATAGTGATTATGCTGGGGCGCGCACAACTAGTGAGGACGGTCTGTTCAAGCAACAAGGACCTGTAATTTATGACGGTTTTGCTGACTAGAAATTAAGCCTATATCCCGATCCTCATCTAGATTTATAGGCGTTTAGTAGATACAAAGATGGCTATCCAAATGATCAAATACCAGATTTTATAGTGGTCGCAATCCTTTCATATTCTGAATGTACTTTAAGTACATTGTGACTTCTCACTACAAAAACACTACGTTTAACAGTAAAGCGTAAGTGATGTCTATTTCTCCCACCCATTATCCACTTAAAATAATTCTGTTGTACTTTGAATACTTCGGTGAATTTTATTCAGTATACTGCAGTTGCTACTCGAAGATAGGCCTTCGAGTCAGTTCTCGGCACCGAATAATCACTAGCTTTTATCAGAATGCTTGACTTCGTGAGATAAATGCCATTCAGCACCTTTCGCAGCTGTCATAGGGCAATACCTCAAACTTGGGTAATTGAACCGTTTATATACATAAATGCAAAGTCAATACAACAGTAATATCGACGGAGAACTACTGACACACAAATAAGGCAAGTTCAAGGGTATGAGGTGCTGTACCTAATACTAAAGTGAGGCTTACGAAGGCATAAGAGTATTGTAAATAGTACTATTACAACACTAGTACTATGATAACAGCAACCTGATAACAATGACAAGTAAGGGGATACGAACGATGGCGCCCGCACTGGCGTGTACAGTGACCCAGGTGACGAGGGCTAGAACAACAGAAAAGTGAGATGCAGACGAGCCCTGCATTAGGCTAAGCTAGAGATCATATGTACAGCGGCTGTGTGCACTTGCACAGTAATCGATGAGGATAGCAAGTTACCTAAGCATCAATGGTGGAAGTGACTACGAACGAGATGTGATATCTGCGGAACACGGTCGGGCGGCTGCTCTTGGATAACGATATGTCTGCAACGTGAGATTTGAGCATCGATGGGTGCCATCATTGCCTAAGAAATTATAGGCCAGAAAGATAACGACTGAGAAATGGTAAGCCTATAGCGACTTAACGAATACACAGCATAAGTTGGCCGGCTAGCGGCCTTGTACGCTTGGCGTACCATGTGGAAGGAATGGTACATGCCACTTCCAGACAATGCATTTGAGGATAGCCGCCGCTACTGACAAAACACCGCAGACCAATTGATAAACAATGAACAGTGACATGAGAATGACGATCAGGATGATGATGATGAGGATAAACTGGCCTGATGAAAAGCGTGGCGTGGTGACGGTGATACTAAACTAATGTACAATTCGCAACTGTCATTTAACACATGATAAAGTTAATGCACAATAATGACTACCTGTTGTATGACTTAACAACTACAATAACCTACGCACTCGGCAAATAGCCATCTCCAATGGCTACGAAATAGTAACCCAACGAGATAAGTTTAGAAGGAGAGCGACGAGCCCAAGCGAGACATTTGGCCAGAAGAAGGTCCCGTTTATGATGCCTTTTATTAGCAATGAAATAAGCGTAGCTATTAAACGATGCTTAAAAAGGGCAAGTCTAGAGGAATCGGTAGCGATAGTTGAAATACCACCGGCTACTCAACGTCGTCAGTTAGTTCGTAACCACCTGTACGACCGCCTATGTGAAACAATAAATTGCGTAATTTGTCCTTACGGCAGGGACGGCGATTGCATGAGTTCAGGTACGATATACCTGATTTGTTGTAATAATTGCAGAGATGAATATATTGGCGAAATGGGCAGACCTTTGTGTATCCGTATAAAAGAACACCTAAATGGCAAACGAAAACT